GGCACCTTAGAGACTAACCAATTTATTTGAGCATAAGCTTTCGTGAGCTACAGCTCACTTCATCAGATGCATACTGTGGAAAGTACAGAAGATCTTTTTATACACACAGAGCATGAAAAAATGGGTGTTTACCACTACAAAAGGTTTTCTCTCCCTCCACCCCACTCTCCTGCTGGTAATAGCTTATCTAAAGTGATCACTCTCCTTACAATGTGTATGATAATCAAGTTGGGCCATTTCCAGCACAAATCCAGGTTTTCTCCCCCCCCCCAACCAACTCTCCTGACATTCAAATTTGTATGTCTTATGAAAATTCACTAAATATCTTTTGAACTCACAAAAAAAGAATAACTGCTATACAAAAGCTGGCCTCGCTGGGTTATGCATTAACACATACCTGTGTGCTATGCAGAAATACACGATGATCTGCATGAAAGAGAGTGCAGTAATCAGCTAATAAATGTTAATTCGTCCTTCATGGCATCAGTACATTTTCCTGTGAGAAATAACTTGGATGACGACAAGGTGCTGTAATACCCTGCACTGTTTGGAAACTAAGCAAATAATCTGAGCTCTGATTCATGGTCTGTAACCCAAAACCAGTGCCTAAATTCCGAATAGTCATTGCACAATATAGGAGAAAGAATGATGGTTCCAGGTAGTGGCAGCAGGAAGTCTAGGGGGTGGTTTAATATTCACTTTGCATATTCCTAAAAAGTGGATGCATGATTTAAAAACATCATGGCACATACGTGTATTTTTTAGCCCTGGCTCTATATGTGCACATTATTTTTTTCCTCATTTTTAAAATCATTATTAAATTGTCCCTATAAAAGAGAGAATTTTTATCTGAAATTTTTGGAGGTTAACAGATTGAGAGAGAGAGTTTTTAACTATACTGGTTTAGCTGCTATAGTTATATAATTAAAGTAGTAAAAAAAAAAATCTTCATTTGCCTAGAGTTCTTTAAAAAATGTGAATAACATTTCCTAAACATTCTGCTAAGAGCTGTGCAGAGACCTGCCCCTGACACACCCACACACTCTGGAGAAAGTAGAACTCAAGTGGTATCGCCTCACCCACCAGGATGTCTTGGGGAAAAACTGAAGAGGATTGGAACCATGCAGAGACACCATTGGGTAGGACAATCTGAAGAAGCGGCCAAAGCAGGAACCTTTGGACATTCTAGAGACCTTTCTACAGTTTCCACTGGACTTTCTCTTGCATGTGCTGACTGGCTGTTTCTTCCAACCCTCTCCTTCCCCTCCCTCACAGTCTCTTCACCTCACCTTCATTCTCTCTTACCTTCTTCTCCCAGTCCCTATGCCTCTCCCCCTTGCCTCCTTCTCTTCAATGTCCCCACTCCCTGTACTTTCCTTTTAATTTAACCGTTTCCCTCCTAACTAAACCCAGTCATAAAAAATATATAAATCATGGCACTAACAAAATGTTTGCTGCTGTCTGCTTGTGTATTATACACTTTCCCCTGTCCTATGTCTGTCTTGTCTATTTAGATTGTAAGCAATTTTGGGACACGGACTGCCTGCTAGACTGCGCTAAGACAGTGCCTGCCTCTTGCAAGTTGAGGGCACTCGACATGAGACACTTAGCATTTTGTAGGATCGGATCCAGGGTTTGTAAATCAATAAAGCAAAGCACTAGCCAGCTGGACTGGATTCCTTAGTGTTTTGGAAGCAATAGATTGGGACGGGAGAGGCCTGAGCAAGGACTGATCTAGTTGGAGAGGAAGAACCAGTCAAACCTGTTTGTTGTCAGATGCAGGCATGCTGCAGTGCTTTATTTGTCACCTATAATTCTATTTTTGACATTTTTCTCCACTGGAAAGAGAGTGGAAGGAAGGGATTACATTAATTTCCTATTATAAACTAATTAGCAAAAAGAATTCACACTGGCTTTTCCATACTGATTCTTGGATAGATTCTTCCAGGCTGACATTCTTACCTTTGTGCCAGTTAATTTTCCTTGTGCCCCCTGGGACACTCATCTCTAAAGGAAAGCAAGTGGTTTTGCCATTTCCTATTGCGTGTCCATTAGAGTAGGGTACCTCTAATTTTCACCAGGAGCTCCCCAGGTTCCTTACCAGCAGAGTCTGCTCAAGGTATTCTCTGAGCCAGTGTATTCTGGTCACCCTGACTATGCAGTCTACTCCATACCACAAATATTTTAGATTGCACTGACGATCTGTAAGCCCTTTGCAGGGAGGCAGGCGACTTCAGCTGCTTTTTGCTGCCACAACCTCCTCCTTGGTGGATTTACCAGTGCTGCCAGGCTCCTGTTGTGTAAACCCAACCCCAAATCAGACCATTAGCTGTATTAATTCCTGAGATCTGATCCTACTCCCATTAGAGTCAATGGTTAAACTCCCATTGATGTGTGGTCACGATTGAGCCCTGTATTGCTGGAAGGGGCAAATGATACATTTCCGCACAAAAAAGTTCTGAATCCTTTTCTAGCTTCAGTACACCTCTAAAATAGTCCTGATTTAAAGTCATCTATGTCTGAGTCTTATTCAACAAACCTAACTCACTTCTTAGTCAGGAAAAACTTCTGGTGAAGTCACATTGATTTAATTAGTAATGGTGCTTGAACAAGCAGATCTGAAAGGATCCTAAATTTGGTCTCTAAAATCAAAGAATGTCATTTTAAGAAATATAGCTGAATGTACTAAGAACGATTTGAACACTATGTTTGGAGTTCCATGCCAGGCATGCCATCAATCCTACTCCTTCTGCTGATTAATGGTGAATGTACCTATGCGTTGCACTGTACATGGGTTGCACTGTACATTACCAAATCCTGAAAGTGGTTCTTCCTGGTGTGACACAGTGGGATTGGAAACCCTGACTGATACTAGCTAACACAGTGATGTCACTATGACATCACAATTCATCTATTAAATATTTTATCAACTGCATGTTCCCAGGATTGTAATTAAAGAAACCAATTAGCTAGACACTTTCTGCACTAATAGTGACTAGAGATCATAAATATAAAGGTATCATACACATCAACCAGTCAATCTAGGCCTGGCATACTTTGGTGCTTTTTTCCAGATAGGACAAGGTATGTTTTTATTTAAAATATGAAGGATTACATCATTCTGCCTTGCATTTTGAATTTACCATTTCCACTGTTTAAAACTTTCTGGATCAAATATAAGACCAAAACCTGAATTTCAGTGGCAGGTTTCAATTTGTTATAACAGGTAGCAGGGATAGTATTGACCCTTCCCATGTACAAATGCACAAAAGAGGAATATGTACCCCAAAAGATGCAGTTACACCACATCATCCTTGTGGAAAAATAAGACTGGTAGCGATGAGAAATGTGCAGTGGACAAAATCTTATCTCCCTGAGAAGCTGAAAATCTACAGAAGACAGCACTGGATATCAGCCAGACCTCAGATCACATGTTTATAGCAATTCTGCTTCAGTGCAGCCCCCTAGTTCTTCCCTTTTCCAGCAACGGCAGCATGTATCTGACTCAGTTGCTATCTATAAGTGTCTGTCAGGTTTTCTGTAGTGCTAGTAACCATAATAGCTAAACTGTGCTGCTATTGTTCCCATGGTGGCAGTTGTGGTCACATGAGCTCTCCAGTCAGTATCTGTCATATCATTTTCTGAGGGGAACATGGCATATTTAGGGGAGGCTATGTAGTGCCATGATGTGATAGTTGTATTTCCCTCCTCACCCCCATAATTTAGGTCCACCTGCTTACCTCCATGCTCCTGAATGTAGATGTTGGTCTTGACAATTTCCTACAGATCTACATTCCCACTATCTCTCATTTTCTATGGAAGCAGATTGCCACACACCTGGGTTTGTTTGTTTGTTTTTATTTTTTGGCTGGTTTTTTGGTTTGGCTTAGTGGGAGCTAAACAGAAGCCATTTAAGAAAAAAAGTTTGTGATTTTAATAAAAGAAGATATTGTGCACAATATGAATAAAAGTGGGAGGCACAGTCTAGATGTTTTTTAAAGCTCCCCAAAATAGTTCCAAGTTCCAACCAATGTCAACATAACACGAGGTTCCAATGAAAACCACAGTATGCCAGCTACCGTGTAAATAACTTCTCTTTCAGTTCCCTGCTGGCTCCACACTCAGTACCTTGTTTTGAGTGCCTAGTTTTTGTTTTTGTGACCATATTTTGCAGATTTAAAATTGAAATCTCTTAGTTTAAGATGTCGACAGAGATTGCAATGGCCTGTTAAACATGATGGAGGGTCTGATACTTCAGATGATTGAACAGCTCCTGTGGGGGCTGAATGCTCTCAGCTTCTCCAGGCTTTTAAGGGCAGCAGGTGAGAGTTGAGGGATCAGACCCTAAAATACAAATCTGTTGACTATGGATTGTAACATAAAGAAACAAAAATTGATATTTCCTATTATAGTCCTTATGAACCAAACTCTAACCAGAACTCTCCTATGCACAGTGCTCACTTAGCGCCTGATCCGGTGCCCACTGAAGTCATTGGAAAGATCAAATAAGCTTTGGATCATGCCCTTGCTGTGTCGTATTTATTCCATCAAGTCAGGCGTGCTAGAACAATTTGTATAGTAGGGGTGTTGAAAGCCATTGAACCAAACTGTAAACCCTGTATATAACGGAAACCACTTCAAGCTAGGGGGTGTGGTAACACCCCCCAGCATCCCTAGTTCTAGCACCTGTGCATCAAATTCCTCATTTCATTGGATATTGTGTTCTTCTCTTACTTTTCCTTCTTTATTTAATTATTTCTTAGTCTTTTACTATGACCTTCCTCTTGTGTTGTTTATGCTAGAGCTTATTTTAGAATCCATTCTTTAGATTTAGACTAATTGTGCTTTCCCCTTTAAAGTCTTTGGTGTATGTGCATGCACGCATGTGTGTGTGCGTGCGTATGAACCAGTTTCTTTCCCTATAGTTTGGTTAAAAAAAAATTCCACTTCACATAACTATCTCTGCTGTCCTGTAAAATTCGTCTTCCTTCCTAAATTACCTGTTAAAGCTCCTGTAGTCAGGCAGATCTGGCTTTGCTTCAGGCTTAAACAGTCTAGGGTATAAAGCCTCCAACAGCTCTGGGTCATTGCTGATGGCTTCTATCCAGGGGGACTGATAATATTTTGGCACAGAAGTAGTGTTGAACCTCTCAGGAGGAATTTCCTTTAGTGGTCCAGAATATCCTTCATGGAAATAAATCAAGGATAAATAATTATAATCATACATTGCATTTTATAGCACTTTTCACCCAAGTATCTCAAGGGCCAATTACACATATTTATTACCCTTAATTCTTACTACAGTCCTATGTAGTAGTTAAGAATTATTATATAAGCATTTAACAGAAGGGTAAGCTGAATAACAGAGAGTGTTAAGTTACTTGTCCAAGACTACAAAGAAGTAGGAAGCAAACATAGGGGATTTGTATCACTTTAGTTAAACCAATGCAAAAGGCTTTGTAGATGCTCTTATTTAGGTTTAAGCGTGGTTTATTTTGGTTTAGCCTGTTTCTTGTTGATTTAAGCTGGTTTACACCAAAGTACCAGTGTCCACATAGCCTCTTGCACTGGGTTAGCTAAATGAGATTAAAATTAAACCTTTAGTTAAAATAATTCAGTTCTGCCTGTAGACTAGTTTTTGGGTGGGCTTTTTAAAAGCACTAAAAGGAGTTAGGAGCACAAGTCCAATTGCCTTTCAGTGGGACATGTGCTTCTAATCCCTTAGGCACTTTTGAAAATCCATCCTGTATGCCTGGTTCTCCATTGTCTTCTACCATGCAAGCAAGTGAAGAATCAGACCCATTCTCTCCCTCATCAGTGAGGGACAGATTCTGCCATGCTTACTCCTGTTGATCAGTACCTTACTACACAAGTAGTTCAATTTACTTTAGTGGGATTACTTCCATAATTTGGTGCTACACGACAGGAGTAAGGGTGGCAGAATCTAGCCCTTAGTATATAGTTGAGAGTATTAAAAACAGCAAGGGGTTGTCCTAAGATCTGAGCCAAAATTATTTGTTGGAAGAAGAGGGAAAATTATTCCTAATTTTTTACCTCACTAGGTTTCTAATTCTCTACATTAACACTATTGCTCCATTTCAGCATAAAAAACACTGTTTTGTTTCCAAATCAGAAAAAAATCAGAGTTCAGACAAATATTTCTGCAGACGAAGAGCTCAAAGATCGCACCTCAACTTTGGAAACAGAAATTGCACCCATTCACATTGTATTGGGCTTATGGATACACAGTGTACTAAAGCTCTTAGTACTTTTAGCAATCACTGATAGAGAGTGGCATTGATCCCGTTCACATTGGCTGGAAAAAGTCTACACAAAACATGCATGCACTGAATAATGTTGAACAAAGAATGACTTTGTAAAAACCTCTGCCTGCTTATGGATAATTCACAACCAGGAGAAAGAGCTACATTCACTGAATAAATTATTTGTCACAAATTATTTGGCCAGCTCTAGTCTTTAGACTTCCGTGTAGCTCAGGGCTTTAAATAAAGAAAACAGGATCCTTGCAACCAAGGTCTTTAAAACAGAAAAATATCTCTGCAGCCAGAGAGACAAATTCTCCTCTCGGCTATTCCCACATAAAGGGCTGAATCAGAACCTGCAGTGACTTTAGATTCACATTTAGAAGCTGTAATACAATTAGTGATGCTGAAGCTCAGATGGCTGAAAATTTTGGAGCAGATAGACAATTAAGATTGGTAGGATCAGATCAATGGGGTTATGCAGATTTAGGGTCTGATGATCTGGCCCCAGATGTTTATTCAAACTTATCAAATATACTTTGGCCTGGAAATCAGGCTGAAAATTTAATTAGACTAAATGTCTCCTGTTTCTAGGGATTTCTAGTGTTTCATGGCATTAATTAGCTCATAGATATCATGAGAATAGCCTCTCCCAACTTATCTATGTATTTCCACTTGTGTGTGAAACTAGACAATAGAAGTATATGAAGATTTTTATAAACCACACTGAAGCAAGTTAACGACTCTGATTTGCATTTAAAATGAAGATTCATATAAATTCTTTAAAGTACTTCTAACCTCATTTGAATCAATTTGCTGATCCCTTATAAATATCCCATTAATGATCATGTAAACAAAATGCTCTACTGTTTTCTGTGCTGTGAAATAGCTGAGTACTCAGTACATGCATAAATTACAATAGTTTGTACTTTACCTGGTGCAATGTTTTCGGGATTTGGTGGGCTCCGTGGGTCAGGTGTATTAGGAGGTGTCATTGGTGCGTGCTGTTGGCCAGCTTCAGCACTGCTAGTTTCCATTTTAACATTCTGCATAGGTTCACTACGCTGCATTAGAATAGAAACAAATACCATGGATAGCACATGCATATCAAGAGATGTTATTGACTCTCTGAAGTATGGAAGTCTTATCTTCATATTACAGATGGAAAACCGAGTTGGGGATACAGTAAGTGACTTGCTCAGGGTCACACAGGAAGTCTGTGTTGAGCTGAGAACTTAACTCATCTCCTAGTCCAGGACCCTATCTACTAGATCAGTGTATCTCAGCATTTTCACTTTGGTGACCCCTTATTCAAAGACAAAGCTGTTTGTGAAACCCTCCACATGTACTATAAAAGTAAGAGCAAAAATAATTTAGGTGTGTCTGTGTTTCAAGAGACTAATAGAGAATACTAGACCTTGAAGGGTAAGTGTGTATGGGAAGTGGGGGAGCAAGATTCCTTTGGTTTAGATTGCAATAAAAATTTCAATGCCTTAGGATTCCCGTCCCCCGATTGTCTTTCATGACACCTCCCCTTCCCCACAGGTCATGAACCCACTGGATGAGAAATACTGCCCTAGATCATCCTTCCTATTCTAAGATTCAAGCTATCTGGTGGATTAATGTAAAAGCCATTGATTCTCTATAGATGCTTTTTGTATACCAATTGAAAACACATCAGCCACACAAAAAGTCTATACACCTTTGTGGGAATGTTTTTTCTTGTTTTACAGTAGTCACAACAACCTTAGTGCAGGCCACCTCTTGGAGATTTTTGATAGGCTGGAGTTATCCCCACCTCCCATCCGGTCATTAGTTCTAAGGAAACATCCAAAGCCTTAATCATTGTTTCTTTAAATACAGAATCAGAGGCTTGTAAAAAAAAAACAAAAACAAAAACAAAAACAAAACAGTCAGTAACTTATTTTTAGCAATGAGAGACAGTCTAAAAGGAACTTAAATATAGAGTGTGTTGGAGTAGGATTTCCTTAAGATAGAAAAAAACAAACACTTTTTTTTTTTAAACTTGAAACAAAGGAAATGTTTTTGATCAGGTCAGTACATTTTAGAATGCTCCTAAGGTATATTGGAAAGATCATTTTAATCATAGCAGGCAAAATGATCCACTCCAGTTTAAGGCACAGAGTAGATCAAGGCCACACAAGTGCTGGCCAAACTGGCATTTAAGGGAGGTCAGTAGAAACTAAAAAGGCATCATTCTCTCCTTTCCCCAGGGTCTGTTTGAATACTGAACGGCTGCAGCTCAGCTTGCATTGTGGAGAATACCAAAGAGGGAGCAGAACAAGGAACTGACAGCAGAAATCCTATGTGAGTTATGGTGCTATTATCAGACTTAACTTTGGCTGCATAGCTCCTATTGCCTGTTGCATAAGGAGTTAACATGCAGCTGCCGGGGAAGGAGCTGTCAGCAGCATATTTCCTCAGGAACTGGCCAATTAAATCTGTTTTATGGCTGCTTTGCATTACCAGAGCAGTGCAAATCAGCCAGAGTGTATTGGTGAATCTGGTCCACAGGCTTTCAAAATCTTAGGCCCACATCCTCAGGTAGTGTAAATCATTCATTTCAATGGAGCCATGCTAACTTACTCCAGCCCTCAGATTTTTCAGCTTAAATAAATATTAAACCATAAGGTCAAAATGTTCAAACTTGGATGCCTAAAGTTGGACACTTTTGGGTGGGATTTCTAAAAGTGCTCAGCTTTCAGATAACTTTGCTCTTATGGTGTTAGTGGGAGCAGCTAGGCCAATGCTGAGTGCCCTTGAAAATCCAACCCTATATCTACATTTAGGACCTAAATAAATGGCCTGATTTTCAGGGGTACCGAGCACTCAGTATCTTTGAAAATCAGCACTTCTAAACATCAAAACTTGGTCCTGGTCCTCTTTTAATTTCGACTGAGTGAATGAAAATCTGGACGCTCCAGTCAGTCACCAGCTGTTTTCCTTCTACTCATTACAAAAAACTGGATATAAAATCTATCTTTTTGTCTATGACAGGATTTTGGGACAGATTCTCAACTCTGGGCAAAGTCCATTTATTGAGCTGAAAAGACAGGGGCTTCTGAACGATAACAGATCACAGAGCTAAGATTTGTTCCTTAAATAGGTAACAAGGCAAGATATTGGAGAGTTCAGGCACGATATTGAGGATTTCAACCCCTTTTATGAATATAACCTTATAGTCTCTGATTGCCATGGACTCCCTCAGCATTCTGATTAGTATGGGCAGCGGGGAATAGGGAAGGCTCTTCTACTAGTCTGCTACCCAAAGCTCCACATCATGAACTGGGCCAAAAGCGTCCAGGAATCCAGCAGATGATACTGTTATTTTATGGCATTATTTTCTGATGAATTATTAGTACTAATAATTCTGTTTCTCTGAGACCAGTTCATAGTAACTTAGTCAACCTGGCTTCAGTATAGTGCCCCCCCTCCCCCCATGTTTACAATTGTAAAAGCGTTGCTAAAATAGCTTCTCAGAGCAAAATACCCGATGCTGTGGTGCAATATATAGTTTTCCTTGACACTTGGTGCTTTGCCACTCCTGAGTAATGTGCTACTCATCCCATGCGCATGCCAATAAAAATGTTATACTACGTCACATCAATACTTTATTTTTATATATATATATATATACACTTTTTCTTGCCCCAAATGAAGAATCTGATCCAACTCCAATTGAAGTCAATGGAATTCTTGATTCACTAGCAGTTGGACTGGACCCAAAAGCATTAGCACCACCATCTAAAATATCTTTGTAAGTTTTAAAAACTGTTGGGGGATGGGAATTGCTATTTAGCAATAAAAGTTTTGTAGGTTAATTAATAATAATTATACTTATATATACCGATACAGCTCTCTTCATCTTCAAAGCAGTTTAAAGATGCTGGGACAAATTGTGCTCCTCAGTCACATGCTTTCATGTCTGAAATCAGTGGGGAAGTATGCATGGAATTGAGATGCAGACTTTAGTTCATTAAGGTCCTGAACCAGCACTGAAGTCAGTGGGGCTACTCACTCACTTACAGTTAAGCCGGTGTTTTATTGTTTTGCTAGCCTGGGACTGAAATGCTCAGAACCTTGTAGATTAATTAGCCCTAACTAATTCACCTAGCTCTCATGTGTGCTGTGAAGTTTAATCTATAAATGTAATTATCACTGTTTCTACAAATGTAGAAAACAAGGTGGAGAGGTTACATGTATTACCCCTGTCATAAATAGAAAGGGAAGGGTAACGACCTTCCTGTATACAGTACTATAAAATCCCTCCTGGCCAGAGGCACAAAATCCTTTTCCCTATGAAGGGTTAAGAAGCTCAGGTAACCTGGCTGGCACCTGACCAAAAGGACCAATAAGGGGACAAGATACTTTCAAATGGAGAGGGGGATGGAGGGGGGGGAAAGGATTTGGTCTGTCTGTTCTGTGTGCTTGCCGGACACAGATCAAGGAAGCAAGCAATCCAGCTCCATTAGAATCAGTAAGTACTAGCAAGGGAATGTGTTAGCCTATTTTTGTTTTGGCTTGTGATTTTCTCTGTGCTGGGAGGAAGGTGTATTCCTGGTTTTCTTTTTGTAACTTTAAAGTTTGGCCTTGAAGGAAATACTCTGTGTTTTGAATCTGATTGTCCTGTAAAATTACCTTCCATCCTGATTTTACAGAGGTGCTTCTTTTACTTTTTTTTCCTTTATAATAAAGTTCTGTTTTTAAAGAATCTGATTGGGTTTTTAGTGTCCTACAAACCCAAGGGTCCGGTTTGTGCTCACCTTGTTTATTTTTCAAGCCTCCCCAGGAAAAGGGGTGTAGGCTTGGGAGGATATTTTGTGGGACTAGGAACTCCAAGTGGTCCTTTCCCCGATTCTTTGTCTAAATCACTTGGTGGTGGCAGCATACCTCAGTCCAAGGACAAATAGAGATTTGTGCCTTGGGGAAGTTTTTAACCTAAGCTGGTAGAAATAAGCTTAGGGGGTCTTTCATGTGGGTCCCCACATCTGTACCCTAGAGTTCAGAGTGGGAAGGGAACCCTGACAACCCCAGACCCCAGAAGGAATGAATGTCAAAGCCAGTATTAGAATATAGAAGCATCTGATTCCCAGTCAGCAATTCCTACTACCCTGCCAATGTGCCTCAACCCTATTCCTTAGGGGCCAGCTCAAGGGGCAGTTTTGTCCCCATGGCCCATTTAATTCCTTACTCCTTTGCTAAGAGTGCCAGCAAGGAAGACTATTAGTGCCAATTGCACAGGTGATGTTACTGGCTAGGAACTGGAATAAGACCACCAACATAGTTTTCATAGTAATAATAACAATAATAATATTAATACTTGCTGTTTATATAGAACTTTGCATCTTCAAAGCCTTCAGCTGTTATTAACAAAGTAATCCTTACATCATTCCTAAATCAGCTGTCACATGGTAATGACTTTTGGTCACTACTGACCTGAGTCAGATTTTGATGTGAATACTTTCAACTTGAGGCCCTTGAACCTTGTTGTCCCATTCTGTGGGACCTAAAAGCAGCACCCAGATCTGAGCCTTTTTTGATTTGTCTAGAAGACCACAAAATGATACAGCTCACTTTGTGCTTCACACTGGCCTTGTTCCAGGTCATGGTTCAGTTCACATCTTTTCCTAAAGCTATGGATAATTCTTGCAGTCAGTACCATGCAAATCATAGGTAACCCCACACCAGTCTCACTGTATTGTATTTAGACACTTGTAATACAAAATACTCACATTCCTTTGCTTATTTGCTAAATAATGATAGTTTTCATAGGTGTACTTGTCAGATCTCCTTTGACGCATCTTAAATAGCCTTGCACCTCTGTTGCTGGGTATTGATAGTTCCTCCACCATGATGTCTCTGGGGATGCTGATTTTCTTTCCAAGGTCTAGGCCATCTGACTCTGTACCACAACAGACAAGCATATGCCTTATGAAATATTCTTCTCTGCTTTCCTTAAATGCTGCTTTTTGCTAAATAATGCTTATTATTATATTCCCTATATCTGTAGTCCAACAAGAAATGCACCCCAGTTCCCCAGTAACATCCTCCTGCTCCATGCTGTATTAGTGAACTCAGTCATTTTTTTGGGGAGTTATGAAGTACACCGTAGCCTGGAATGAGCTTCTCAACCACTGCACTGAGAGCCAGATTTACAAAGGTGATGAGCGCCCACAGCTCCTGTTGATTTCAGTTAGAAGTGTAGGTGCTCAGCTTTTCTGAAAATCAGACCCTCGGTATCTTACAATATAATTTCTTAGTGATCAGTAAAATCCTACTTTCACTGAAGTCAGTGTCAAAACTCCCCTTGACCTCAGTCCTGGACCCGGCCTAAATCAATATATATCCTGGACTGGACAGAGAAAGAACTCCTCAGCCTATTTTACACATATCTTCCTATTTCTGATTGCTTGCAATAGTTTTTGTCTCAATGATTCATTCACATTTTTTAGATTTTTTAAGGCTAGCTACCTCCTGTAACAGAGGTTTGAATTGGCTGGGAGCCACTACTTAATAGTTTTATTTAGAGAATTTCAGAATAAAGGTCCAGTTTATGAAAATGAAAGACGTAACAATGAATTAAAATATACTTCTAACAACTTTTACATGATTCCTTCAGAATAATTATCTATTTTTTTCCACACTGCAATTAACAGTTCTCATCAATAGGAGAATTACAAGCAACTCTTTTCAAAAGATTAACAAGTGCTGGAAATCTAATTACTGCTGTCAGTGTTACTTAGGTCCCTGCTTGGGGAAAAGATCACTTCCTTGGCTTTACATTGTAACTCTGGGGAACTTTGATAATGAATATGCATGCATGGGTGGTGTTGGAGGGGGAAGAGTAAGAACCAGGGTTTTCCCCAGGAATTGAAATTGGGGGTGGGGGGGTTCGAATTTACAGGGAGCTGGAGGAGGGTCAGGGCCGATGAGGGGTGAGACCCTGAGTGTGAAGGTGGCTCTATGGCACCATAGTAAAAACTGAAAAATGTTTCATGACCATTCAATTAGATTTAACTCATGTTTTAAAATCATCACAAAAATTAAAGTTGGCTACTCAAGCCTTCTATGAAGCACTACATCTACATCCTTATTGGTTTCTTGTTATAATTTTGCACAACTCTGTTAATGAACAAGATGAATGCAATGCGTTCATCTTTGGTGGCTTCCCGTGTGTCTGGTACTTCCATTCCTTTAATTGGTATTCTCATTAGATCATTCACATGATCAGGCAGAAGGCAACTTCTTTCAGAACACAAAATTCTATTCAATGAGGCAAAAGAATGCTCAACTGTAGCTGTTGTGACTGGGAGTAACAAGAGATGAATTCCTACTTCTTTCATCCCAGGAAACATAGCACAAAGATTGGGTGAAGCCACTAGTGATGATAAAAAAAGAAGTTGAAGTCAAATCTTCATTTATTCATCGTATGATATTCCACTGTGTGTTCAGATTCCCTATTCTGCCCTGAGCACATGGCAGCCCCTTTGCTGGTAGTGCCTCACTCCACTCAACTGTCGGTGTTTTATAGGACCTCTGTGTAAAAGCTATGTAGAGGTTGAGTAGAATCTATCAGTCACTGTTGTAGATTTTTAAGAATCAAATCTATGTACTTTTTCAGTTGTCTTAACAAACACTTCTTGTCCTCTTCACTTAAGGATTCAATATAAATGCCTTCATTACTCAACTTTTGGACTAAAGTCTTTGCTTCTTCCAGTACTTTTTCAATGGGTAGCTCTCTGATTGATCCAAATGTAGCTTCTATTGCTGGACAAAGATCTACTACTGTTGTAGCAGATGCCTGGATGACATTGTTTAATGACCCAAGTGGTTTCAAAAATAGACTTACAAGGGAGAGAATGGCAATAGTTTTCTCTGAATGTAGTAGCAAAAGTAATGCACCAGCCTCACTACTTAGATCCATCCCATCTTGGTAGATACTTTCCAAAGCCAGTAATAATGGCTGGAGTAATTTTAAGACAACAGCCAAGGATCGCTCATGAGAAAGCCAGAGGGTTTTCCCAGGTTGGACTAATTTGAACTTCAGTCCTAGTGTATCTTCTATATTTTCCAAGATATTCAGTCTTTTTGGACTCTTGCTGAAAAAAGAATATAATGAAGACATTAAATTTGTAGCTTTTTTAATGTCTTTTGAAGAGTCTGCAGCTCGTACTAGCACTAGTTGGAGTAGATGGCCTCTGCAGTGTGTATAGGAGAGATTAGTGTTACACTTTTCTCTGAGCAAAGCTTGTACTTCACCGTGTCTTCTAGAGAAGTTTGCAGCTCCATCAAATGCACAAGCAGCCATCTGTTTGGGGTCCAATTGACCAGCATTTAACTCCTCTAAGATGTGGGTTGTCACAGCTGCAGCCGATGTGTCTTCTACAACTTGAACATCTAGAAATGCATCTATTGCCCTACCACTGACATGAAGATAACGTACACAATGACTTAATACTTGATGCCCATTTGCATTGTTGCATTCATCAGCCATGTATGCAAATTTTTTTGTGGTGAGAGAGTTCTTCACTTTTTCAACTGTTGAGTCTTTCACTATTGCACCACATACCTCTAGCCAGTCAGTTGAGTTTCTTGCAGAAAGATAGTGAGCATTTGCTGGTCTTGTCCAGAACCAGTGTTCAACTTCAGGATGAACAAGTGACAATCCACTTAACATTGGCCTCCATTTTGTAGTGTGCGGTATCTCTTGCTTAAATAGCAAGTATGGTGCCACAGCCATGTTTGTTCTCCTGAACTGTGTTGTGTCTCCAGCATTCTTAACAGCCTCATTAACACTCACCGGTGTTGTCCTTGGTCAGTGGAGACTCAGAGTTCAGAGGTTCTTTCTCATGAGTTCACCTCCCAGGTTGGGGGAAAGAAGGCACCTTGCTCATTCCTCCAGCTGCTCACTGTTCACTCTGGCCACTGTTATTCATTGTGCCACCGTTCACTCCATTGCTCTGTTGCCGATGGCCCTGCGCCGTCACCTTCTGCTGCCACCTGCCACTGTGACCTCTGCGAGTTGGTCTCTTGAGGTTCCACCCAGCTCTCAGTGATTTCAGCTGAGCTCTCAGTGGGGGAACCTCGCTGCTAGTGCAGCCTGGGCCATCTCTTCCACAGAAACACTGTCCCACAGCAGGTCTAAGCACTTAGACCTGATTTCAGCTGTAGTGGTCACTTAACAAAACAAAAGACTATCTATGGAACCTAATCAGCTCTGTCTTTAAACAATGGAGAGGGGCAGGTCAAATAGTACTTGTGACTCAGGCAGACCATCAAGCAAAACTCCTGTCCCCACCTTCTCTCTTGATGCCCTCAATCAGCCCAGGCTAAGTACAGTTCTACTGCCCTTTACTCATACAATAAGAATAACAACATTTCATTCCCCCCCTCCCCGCGCATTCAAGTGATTTGTAACCCAACCCCAGCCAAAATCTATCTCTTGGGCAACGCAGCTCTGTTTGCTGAATACCTAGGTAGATTAGGTGTGAATGTAAATAAAATCTGGTCGTGAGGCCTTTCCCCCCAGCCCCTAGGTCATCACTAGCTGTCAGGGAGAGCTCATTTACAAATCATAATTTGAAACTATTAGGTTGGCCAACATCACCAAAATGAATGCACTGACATTGTCATAAAAAACAACAGCTGTATAAGGAAGATAGTCTATGTTTATACTTTTCAAAGCTATTATACTTTTTCAGATACACATATTTTATCATACATGTATATGCTTTTAAAGTGTGTATTCATGTTTCAATTTCAGTTCAGATTTCCAAACAATCACTAAAACATGATTTTTTTGTAACTAGTTCACAAAACTGGGGTGGGCGGGGTATTGGGGCAGGGGGAGGAAATCCCTGAGTAAAACTGCGGGCAGAGAACCCTGTATGGCATAACCTTCATTGTCAGTCTTATGGAGAAGTTCTGGAAGTTGGGATACTAGTGGCACTGAGTATGCTGACACTGATTTGAAGAACTCTTGTCATTTGATATCCTCAATTTTAAAGCCCTTGCTTACTCTTTACACCATGATAACTTCAATGCTTAGCAAACTATTTTGTTATTCATTTCTTACTGCCAGGGTTTGGAAAGTAGCCTTTTTCACATGTGGCCATAATTAGATCATCCAGTAAAAATAATATTGTTAAGCATCTTCTCCGACTTCGTCATTTACAGTTACCCAGGCTCATTATTTTAATAATTGAACTAGGGTATGTCTACACTGGCAGAGTTACATCACCAGCAATTACATCACCGCTCAGAGAGTGCTGAAGGGAAACCACTGTTGTGTGTTCATACTCTCTGCTGCTTGTGCAATAGCGTGTTCACACTTGCAGCACTTGCATCGGTATTCGGAGCGGTGCACTCTGGGCAGCTATCCCACAGAGCATCTCTTCCTCTTTTGCCGCTAAGAGTTGTGGGAAGGCAGAGGGGGTCACAGGGCATCTTGGGTCCTGTCCCAGTGCCCCATGATGCATTGCTTCACATCCAAGCAATCCCTGTGCTTAGTCCACATTTGGCCCCATCTTTCAATGGTTTGTGTACTGCATGCTCTGCCTCTTCGGTCTGCAGGAATGGATCCCGCAGTGTTGACAAATATGCTGCTTGCTCTCACTAACACATCACAGGTGGCAGTGGAGTTATTCCTTAAACTACAAAGGCAAGAGCAGTTTGACATTGATCTTGTCATATGTAGTAACTACGACATGAGATTGCTTGTGGCATTCACGGAGGTGTTGACCACAGTGGAATGCCATTTTTGGGCTTGGGAAACAAGCACTGAGTGGTGAGATCACATCATCATGCACATCTGGGATGACGAGCAGTGGCTGCAGAACTTTCAGATGAGGAAAGCCACGTTCATGGGACCGTGTGATGAGTTTGCCCCAGCCCTGCAACGCAAGGACACGAGAATGAGAGCTGCCCTGTCATTGAAGAAGCACGTGGTGAGTGCACTGTGGAAGCTGGCTACTCCAGACTGCTACCAATTGGTCGCTAACCAGTTTGGAGTGGGAAAGTCGACCATTGGACTCATGTTGACGGAAGTGTGCAGGGCCATTAATCGCATTCTGCTCCAAAAGACATGACTCTGGGCAACATGAGTGACACTGTGGATGGCTTTGCACAAAAGGGCTTCCCTAAATGGGGAGGGGTGATAGATGGCACTCATATTCCAATTCTGGCACCAGATCACCTAGCCACTGAGTACGTTAATTGGAAGGGGTATTTCTCTAGGCGCTTGTAGATCACCGTGAGCGTTTCACAGACATTAACACAGGCTGGTCCGGAAAGATGCATGTCACACACATCTTTTGGAATACTGGCCTGTTCAGGAAGCTGCAAGCTGGGGCTTTCTTCCCGGACCAGAAGATCACCGTAGCGGAAGTCGAAATGCCCATTCTGTCTATCCCTTAATGTCATGGCTTATGGGAACCTTGACAGCAGCAAGGAGCAGTTCAACAACAGGCTGAGCAAGTGCAGAATGACTGTTGAGTGTGCTTTTGGCCCTTTAAAGGCCCGCTGGCATTGCCTATATGGGAGGCTGGACCTGGCCGATGACAATATTCCTGTACTCATAGCCATGTGCTGTACGCTCTGTAATATTTGTGAAGAGAAGGATGAAAGCTTCACTTAGGGCTGGACTGCTGAGGCTCAGCACCTGGAAGCTGAATTTGAACAACCAGAGACCAAGGCTATTAGAGGGGTGCAGCGCAGGGCCATAAGGATCAGGGATGCCTTGAGGCAGCAATTTGAAGCTGAAAGCCACTAATATTTGTTGCTATGCTCAGGAGTGCAGTGCTTGTAATGCTAGGAGGTGATTGTGATTGGTGTAGCCGATGCACTGTGAAGGTTTAAGAAAATTGCCTGTTGCTTTGCAGGGCTCTGTTTGCTTTCAGTTAATGGAATAAAGATTGCTTTCAAACCAAAACAATTATTTTATTAAATAACAACAACTAGAAGAGAGTGACAAACAAAAAAACAGATCAGCACTGTAGGGGATGGGGGAAGAGAGGGTCCCAGGAGGAGGGTGAGTTCCTGGGACAGTTAAAGATTTGTGTATGTCCAGATAGCATATGCAACCTTGTCCTTTGGAGTAGAGTGCAGTGGGTACTGTTCTTCAGCAGGGCTAAATTGCAGAGGGACAGGTGTTGCCCTCAGGGGCAGGGGAAATCAGTGTTCCAGGACTGTACTGTACACCTAGCACGTGGCTCTTGGGGAGAGCCAGTACTGTAGGGGAGGCCTGATAATCATTCCTATTCCCACACTTTCCACAGGCTGTGTTCATTATGGAAGATATCTCACTGCTAAGGGTGAGCAGGGAGTCAAGGGAGGGTCTTCTCCAAGACTTCGGCTTCCACTCTGGTCCTTATGCAGCTCGCCTGTGTGCAGCAATGGTCCCCCGCCCCTCCCAGTGAAGGCAGAATGGTGCAGGAAAGTTACCCTTAATGGGGCAAGAAACAAAGCAGCTCTGCCAAAGAACCTGCAGCAGTTGGTTGCCCAGTATCTCCATGAGAGTTTCGTGGAGATCTCTGAGGTACATTCCATGAAGTGAGGGAGTCAATCAACACCCTGTTCCACCGCTCATACTAGGCATGTGGTGATATTCTCATCATACAGACAGAAGCCTGCTTTCTGCAACCCTCTTGCCCCCAACAACTCACTTCAGCAATTCCCAAAATCAAAGCCACTTACCAGGGGCCTCCTCTCCTGTTTGTGCTTCACCAAGCTCCGACCCCTGTGACTGGCTAGCCTCCTCTGGGGTTGAGAAGAGCTCCTGGCTGCATGTATCTCTGACCTCTGAGTCATCCTCTGCGTCTGGGTCCCCCTCCCCCTTTACATCCTCGGTCCATTCTCGACTGGCATGCGAGCCACCGAAGTATCCACAGTGGCCTTTGCAGTGGAGGTGGAGTCACCACCGAGTATCACGTCCAGCTCTTTGTATAACTGGTAGCTCGTGGGGGCAGCACTGGAGCAGCAGTTTGCCTCCCGCACCTTGTGGTAGGCGTTCCGCAGCTCCTTCGCTTTGACCCTACACAGTGTGTGTCCCGGTCATGGCCCCTTTCTGTCATTCATCATGATATCAGTCCATACATATAATTCCAACGGCTGGAACTCAGCTGGGACTGGAGAGCCTCCTCTCCCCAAATGCTGATGAGGTTCAGCAGCTCAGCATTGCTCCAAGCGGGGGGATTGCCTGGTGTGTGGAGCAGGCATGGCCACCTAGAAAGATGCGCTGAGACCACTGCACGCGTCCCTGAGCAAACAGGAAGGGGACTTTCAAAATTCCCAAGGAATTTAAGGGGTGGGGCTCACAGTTGGTCATCTGAGGGCAAGGCAGTAGAGTTCAAACCAATGACCAGAGAGGTGAGAACAGGTATTGTGGGACACCGCTCGGAGGACAATCACAGCACTGTAATCTACTAGGGTGTCTACACTGGCATCATGGCGCTGTAGCCCTGGCACAGAAAGCTGTACGCCTCTTGTTGGGGTGTTTTTTTTACAGTGCTGCTACTGTGCAGTTTCTGCGCACTAAATGGCTTGGCAGTGTGTACACCTCGGGAGTTACAGCGCAGAAAGCTGCTTTACTGCACAGAAACTTGCCAGTGTGGACAAGGCCTTAGTCTCTGTGGGTGTTTATAAGCTTCAGGACAAGATATGAAGTAACATCATGCTATGTAAAACCGCATTGAGGCTCCAATATGAATCAGTTTTTCTCCCACTCCTAAATCCTTGATCTTCCACTTTCACTTGCACTTGCAATCAGGTAATCATCAGCACCAGTCAGCTGTGTTTTGAGCTGCACTGCTGCCTGCTGCTTTGTCTCTGTCCCATTCAGGCCTTCTCCTGTCATGGGTCCTACTTCCCAGTTCCAACAACATTTTCTTAATCCAGATATGGAATCAATTCAGTCCAGTATCAGGTGAAGGCTTGGGTTGTTTCTCATACCAGTTCCCTATGCCTAATCTAGAGTCAGTTTTTTAAAAGAGGTCCAATTGTGTGTGTGAAAATGTGAGCAATTGTAAATTGAGTGTTGCAGTTACCTTGACTACAATTGCAAAGTGGATATTTACACATGCCTTTGCATGCATAAAGTTCTGATCTGTACTCATAATTGCAAGAACTGTACATGTAAAGGTAGGCACATATTTTTGAGCATGGATCTTAAGCCTCTACATTTAAAAATTTGACCCATTAACTAATTTTGAATTAAAACTGGATGTGGCCCACAGCAAATGCCTAAATGACCCATTGGATGATTTAACTGATCACTGCAATCAGCTTTAACAAATGAGTTACCTAATAATAAGATACTTCAGAGACAATTATATCATATGTGGAACATCTAAATAATCCTTAGTTGGCTTCAGTACAGCTTGTTTTACATAGTCTTTAAATACAAAGATATGGGATCCAGACATGGCATCTACAAAAATATTGCAAATGTCTCTCAGATATTAAATGGTTTAATATAACTGCATTTAAAAAATCTAACAGGTATATTTACAACAAAATGTGAAAGGAATGGGCAGGCACTTACACGGTCAGATTCTTTTTTATACATACACAAAGGGCCTGATCCTACTTTCCTTGGAATCAAATTTGTCAGTTAGTTATCTAAGTGGGTTATTTGTCAGTAACTTATCTAAGTTATCACAATACATGTGAGCAGGAGAATAAATCCAAGAGTTTCATAAGTAGATTTAAAGTTAGGTCCTTAAGTTATAGTTAGGCACCTAAACCAATGGCCTGATTTTCAAAAGTGTTGAGTTTTAACTTCCACAGACTTCAAGGGGGACTGCCAGATGCTCAGCACTTCTCAAAATTAGGCAACTTATTAAAGCACCTAAATCAGGTTCTATGGGTGGGATTTTCAAAAACATCTGAGTTAGGAGTACAGTCCCAGTGAAAGTCAAGGGGACATGTGCTCCTAAATCACAAAGCACTTTTGAAAGTCTCATGTTAAGCACCCGCTTTTGAAAATCAAGCTAAGATTTTCATAGCTGTTTCCATTTCCCTCAAAATGGCAACAGAAAAGTTGAATTGCTGCTTAAAAGATCAGCCAGTGACTATGTATTGGAGAGAAACGACAAGAGCTAATAAGGTTTATTAATCCCAATAGCTAGCTTTGAGGGGAAGGAGAATATTGATACAAATATTTTTGATCATGCATATTAAAAGAAATGGAAAACAGGAAAAAAGATATAGACAGATAATCATGTTTTGTATATGAATAGTCTTGCAAAATGGAATCCAGTCATGATATTAGCCCCAAATAATATTCTGAAAGGCTATCCAAGCAGAATGTACATCAGCTGTTAGATTACTTCATTCCTTCACAACAGTTGTTCATCTGAAAATAGCTTTCAAATGAAAAGAGACAACTACAAAAGGATTAGTTACCATAGGCGGCATGATACCCCCACTAGATTATTTATGGCAGAATACCCAGAGAAAGAGCTGTAAGAGAGTTAAACTGTAAGATTAAAAAGAAATGTTAGGAAGGAGCGAAAGGAACATAGGACATACAGTAACCGGTTTTAGCTCTATACCATTTCCGTAGATTTCCTTCATAATGGCTGATGCTTGTTGTTTCCTCTCTTTGACCATGGCAGAATGTGATAACATTGTGATTGTCTGGTGGGGTTTTCCTCACTGAAAAAAAAATCCACATTTTTACATTGTTGAGCCAGTGTGTAGAATCCAGTTGACTTTTATTTCAAGCATTGTCTTCAGAATAATTAGTGACTATACTTATTTCTCATTTGGCTAAGATGTCTTTTTAACAATGCCAAAGACACTGGCAATCACTCCTTGCAAACATCTGATCAGAGACACATTCTCCAGCTCAAAGATAAGAAGTCCTGAGTGACATACTGTCCTACATAAATTCTGTAGCAAGATCTGTGGCAGTGGTCTGGGCCTTCTCATTTCCACACACTATGTTTAAAAAAAATGCAAATCTGTGATTTATTTCAAATGCTGTCTTTTGTTAACCCTTGATCTACAGTCTCAAAAATAGGAAAAATTCTGGCAAATTGCTGAAAGTGACAGTGAAAAGGTTGATGAGCTTGTTAAAGCATCTTTAAATAAGCAAAGAAAGTGGATTCCCCACTAGATAAAAATATACATCATATTTTATTCCTGAGATAAGATGTTACTTAAATGTCTTCTATGCAACAGATTGTAGGACAAACAATGTCAAAATATTTCAGGAAAAAATACACTTACCCTGTTGTTAGGCTTTGTTGTGCAGAAAAAAGCAATCCCAACCCCTTTTGGTGAAGTTTCTGGAGTTTGTTATGAATGGGGATGACCTGACTGGTCCTGGATGGTTTCTATCCTTCTGGTTGGGTCTGCATGGTACCTAGTACGAAGACAAACTGGGGGCTGACCCTCTCCAAAGAGACTGGCATCCAGCTGACATCAGCCAGCTATATATAGAACCAAACACTTCAGCTAGTCATATCTTCCTGGCGAAAGAAGAGAACAGAAAGGATTCAGCTGTACCCACCACAAAGAGAGTGTATCTCTTCTAGAGCTTATTGGGAGATTTCGTGGAATGCTCTCTTCATACTTGTTCAGATCATCCCATCATTCTGAAAGAAGAATAATCTCCATGTTATAACCAGGGGAAAGACATTTAAAAATAAGGTGATAAATATATGATGAGAAAGACTATATTTGATGGGAATGGAATGGGCTAATCCTTCAGTGAAAGATAAAACCATGCCTTTATAGTAGTTGATGACTAAAGTTAGTGGCAGACGGTTGATGTATAAAGCCTACTCTTAAAAAGAAATCAGAAACCTGCAGTGTTATTTGTGTTAAGACAATACTTTCACAATAGGCTACAGTTTCTCTCAAGAAATAGTACAAGAATTTGTCTCATAATGATTTTTTAAAATTGATTTCTGAAAACTGCAATAATTTAGAATCCATTAATACCCAATATACTGTATCACTTTATGCTAGAAACTTGTTTTATGTAGGATCACAGGTATCCCAGGACAGTAGCTACCTTGTCCACCTGCCAAAGAAAACATTCAGATTGTGCCCCCCCTCCTTTTTATGTATAAAAGGTATCTTATGGTAGGGGAGAAGGAGATGAGGAGGCTGTTTTTCTGGTTTTGTTTTTGTTGGGTTTTTGTTCTAAAGAAGTTCTGTTTTTTGCTCTCTTTTTTCACATCAGAAATTGAGTTCTTGCCTTCCTGGAAGACTCAGTAGATGACTGGTAGGAGAAAGGCTGAGGACAGGTATTAATACCTGGTGGTATGGGCCCCTGGTGAGGGCCTTACATGCTAATTGCACTTCCTCCTTTCTCCACTGTGGAATATCAGAGCTAATTTTGATTCCATTAGGAGTTTAGTTACAGGTTGCTGAGCTGAATTCACTTTGGGTCAATGGTGCACCAGCACTGAGGCTCCCCTACTACAAGCTGAAATCACAAAAGAGCTAAACTTACTAAGAGCTGAAATCACTGACTGTTGTATTAAGTAGTGGGGGAGCCTGAAGGTACATTTTGCGGAGCAGTTTGCGGGACGGCTGGCAGAGCAGAGCGGCTCTTGGAGCAGAGCTGTTCGTGGGATGGCTGGAGTGGCTCATGGGACAGCTGCCAGAGCAGAGCGGCTCTTGGAGCAGAGCGGTTTGCGGGATGGCTGGAGCAGCTCATGGGGGCGGCTGGCAAAGCGGAGCAATTCGTGGGACGGCTGGTGGAGTGGAGCGGAGTCCCATGGAGAGGTTGGGGAAATTGTCTTTGGACCACGTAAGGTGCCCCTTAACTCCCACAGTATTCTTGCCAGTAAGTTAAAGAAGTATGGGCTGGATGAATGGATGATAAGGTGGATAGAAAGCTGGCTAGATTGTCATGCTCAACAACATGGCTCCATATCTAGTTGGCAGCCAGTATCAAGCAGAGTGCCCCAAGGGTCGGTCCTCGGGCCAGTTTTGTTCAATAGCTTCATTAATGATCTGGAGGATGGCGTGGATTGCACCCTCAGCAAGTTTGTAGATGACACTAAACTGGGAGGACAGGTAGATACGCTGGAGGGTAGGGACAGGATACAGAGGGCCCTAGACAAATTAGAGGATTGGGCCAAAAGAAATCTGATGAGGTTCAACAAGGACAAGTGCAGAGTCCTGCACTTAGGACGGAAGAATCCCATGCACCGCTACAGACTAGGGACCGAATGGCTAGGCAGCGGTTCTGCAGAAAAAGACCTAGGTGTGACAGTGGATGAGAAGCTGGATATGAGTCAACAGTGTGCCCTTGTAGCCAAGAAGGCCAATGGCATTTTGGGCTGTATAAGTAGGGCATTGCCAGCCGATGGAGGGACATGATCATTCCCCTCTATTCGACATTGGTGAGGCCTCATCTAGAGTACCGTGTCCAGTTTTGGGCCCCACACTACAAGAAGGATGTGGAAAAATTGGAAAACATCCAGCGGAGGGCAACAAAAATGATTAGGGGGCTGGAACACATGACTTATGAGGAGAGGCTGAGGGAACTGGGATTGTTTAGTCTGCGGAAGAGAAGAATGAGGGGGGATCTGATAGCTGCTTTCAACTACCTGAAAGGGGGTTCCAAAGAGGATGGATCTAGACTGTTCTCAGTGGTAGCAGATGACAGAACGAGGAGTAATGGTCTCAAGTTGCAGTGGGGGAGGTTTAGGTTGGATATTAGGAAAAACTTTTTCACTAGGAGGGTGGTGAAACACTGGAATGCGTTACCTAGGGAGGTGGAAGTTTTTAAGGTCAGGCTTGACAAAGCCCTGGCTGGGATGATTTAATTGGGGATTGGTCCTGCTTTGAGCAGGGAGTTGGACTAGATGACCTCCTGAGGTCCCTTCCAACCCTGATATTCTATGATTCTATGGTTGTGACATCACAGTACAAAGGAAGTGAAATCTGGATAATTGAGTTTGGATGTGATTTTTATTCAGATTCTTTAAAACAGATATATACTTGTTAATACCTTGTAAGCAAGAGGCCCCCTCCTCCTAAAAAAATATATACCCACTGTATAAAATTCAAACAAACATACTCCTAACCATGAACCTCAGCCCGAGCTTTCTCCTCAAGTTTGGCTTTTCCTAAACTCAGCCTTGTAGAACCTCTCTGTTGCAGACCATAGTTCTCTCTGCCCATGAGCAAGGCTCATTTTTAATCCTTGTTAAGAATCAACAGAAACCGCATACTTGTATACTTGACAGTAATTCCACTGCTCTTTCATGCAGAGTTCAAGCATCTGATAAAAAGGGTGCCTTAACAAACACTTGATAAAAAAACTGTTTCTTAAAGATTCAGTACTTTTCACCCATTCAGTAAAAGACCCAGAGAGCTCCCTGTTTCTATGAGACCTTTAGCAAGTCCTCCAGCAAAAGCCACAAAGACCAGACTTGATAAACCTGAGATTTCCAAGGTAAAAAACAAACCACAAAACCAATAGCAACCTCTCTACAAAACAAAACAAACAAAAAAGCATATACACTTAAAAAACCCTTTGAAACCATCTTTATACACCATAAAATAAGAAGGCGGGGAAGCAGAGGAGCTAGGAAAGCACGTGGAATGAGGGTAAAGCGGAGAGACTGTGAAGGAGGTGAGACAGTGTGTGTGGAGCATAACTTGGGTCATCACATACCTCCTTTAACTCTGACTACAGCACTTGTTTTTTTCTCATTTCCTGACTACACATAGTGCATATGGAGCAGACAGTCAATGTTTTGCCAAGACAGCCAGAATTTGGACAGGCGTCTCAGTGCTAAAAATCCAGAGTTATGCCTCCACAGCAGGTAATTTACAGATTTTGATCTGTGTATAGACACAAGGAACATGAGAATTTCCGCCTTACAGTTGTTTTGTCTTCTTGCTTCAAAAGTAGAAACAGTTGTAAGGAAAGAAGATACAAAACAACAACAACAAAAACAAACAAAAATTCAAAAGAGTAATTATTTCTAACAATCCTAAAGTTATTTTGATCACTTAGATCAGTGCTTTGTTCTTATGGGGGTTAGGTATTGGGTCTGGTATTTATTTTTGTATTTGTGTTTTCAGTATTTTGTATTTGTTTTCAGTGCAAATCCTGAAGTCCTGCTCAGTTTTTGTTCAGCCCATGTACAGGTAGAAGTCCCACTGATTTCAACTGGAGTTATGTGTTTTATTTATATTTATGTTCGTCTGAGGCTTTTGCTTTAAAAATACACCCAGGAGCCATTTCTGGGGCTGATACTCATGACATTTCAGTACCTGATTAGTGGAAATGCCATGAGAAGATCAGGTCTCACATTCTTTCAGCACTATAAATTGCCTCTAAAGCAAAAGTAAGTAACACAAATACGGAGATATTTCATTTTATTTAAATTTACCCCCAGCTATATTTGTCTTAAAACAGGTAGCTATGGATTTTGTACACAAGTCCAAATTTTTATGGCCCCAGTTCAGGTAAGCAGGTGGCTGGAAAGTAGCTAATGGAAAGCCAATTTTTAAAAAGGGCTTCAGAGGAGGTCATGGCAATTACAGGCCAGTATGCCTAACTTCAGAACCAGGCAAATTTGTAGAAATTATAGTAAAGAAAAGAATTATCAGACACATAGATAAACGTGATTTGTTGGTGAAGAATCAACAGAATTTTTATAAAGGGAAATCATGCCTCACCAATCTATTAGAATTCTCTGAGGGAGTCAACAAGCATGTGGATAAGGCTGAACTAGTTGATATCGTGTACTTGAATTTTCCATCACCAACATCCATCACCAAAGGCTCTTAAAGAAACTATGTAGCCATGGGATGAGACAAAAGTTCCCATCATGGGTCAATAACAGGTTGAAAGATGGTCACGTCTCACAGTGAAGAGAGGGGAAAAGCACGGTCTCCCAAGGATCTGTACTGGGAGCTGTGCTGTTCAACATATTCCTCAATAATCTTGAAAAGGATGTGAACTGTGAAGTGGCAAGTTTGTAGATGATACAAAATTATTCAAGGTGGTGTGTCCAAAGCCGACTGAGGAGTTACATTGGGGTGTCACGATACTGGGTGACTGGGTAACAAAATGGCAGATGAAATTCAATATTGATAAATGCAAGGTAATGCCCATTGGAAAAAATAATCCCAACTATACATATACAATGATGGGGTCTAAATTAACTCTTACCACCTAGGGAAGAGATCTTGGAATCATTGTGGATAGTCCTCTGAAAACTTCTGCTTAATGCACAGCAGTGGTCAAAGAAGGCTAACAGTATGTTAGGAACTATTAGGAAAGAGATAGAAAATAAGATGGAAAATATCATAGTGCCACTATACAAATCCATGGTGCCTTGTTTACTGTGTCCAGTTCTGGTTTCTCCATCTCAAAAAGGTTCAGAGGAGGACAACAAAGATGATCAAGGATATAGAACAGCT